GGTGGGGTGTGGGGTGTGGGGTGAGGGTGAATTAGTAAAATTAAAATCTTACCACTTGCAAAGCTCCATTGTAGTTTCCTGCGACGCCAGTCGATAAGACTTCCAAAGTCGTTGCTTTTGATACTAACCCAGCGAAAAAACTTGTCCATTGGTTCTGAAATCATTACGACATTTATCGTTAATTAATTAATACTGAAAATGAAATGTTGAAGACCAAAATATATAATTGCATAATCAAGACTTTATAATACATTTCCTACCACATCCATCAAAATTTCTACTAAATTAATGTGATTCATAATGACAACGGCCGATTCTCGTGACGCTTCAGATGTTAGTCTCAATGACTTTGGTCCAACCCCTCGAGGAAATGTCCGAGCATATTCCTCCTCACTTAAAATCTCAGCAGAATTTTCTGAACTTTGAATCCACAAGGGCTCTCTAGTTTCAGCCAATCTAATAAATTCCTCCATTGCTGCAACAGCGAGCTCAATTATCATTGGTTTATCGGCATCTGTTGAGCCAGAAATTGATCTAAGAAGGTCACCAGCATTGTACATTTCTCCTAATTGATGACCAAAACTTGCCACTCCAAGATCAAGTGAACGAGTTGGTGGTATAGGAGAAGGAAGTTGAGCATAATTAAGCATTGGTTTCCCAACATATTTTGCTGCTATCCCAGATATCCTGTCAATCTACAAGAACCATAAAATTAAATTATGTAATTAGCAGTGATAACATGGACTGTATATACATTAGAGGTGGCAAAATAAACTTATTCTTTTAATAACCCGCCCAACCCACCCAAATTTAAACCAGATGGGTTATGAAATGTTTGTTGACTTGACCAAACTGCTAAAACCGAAATGATCCATCAAAGTATTGAAACAAAACGGGTTAAAATAGGGATTTTAACACAAAAAAGCCAATATAAATAGATTATACATCAATTATACACAGTTATACTCATAAAATACATAAATTATACATATATTATACATCTGCCGATTATTTTTAATTTAAGTGATTTTGTAGGCAGCCATTTAGAAATTAATTCTTTTTAAAATATTGCAAACATGGGGTCAAAATGCAAACCCATTACCATCTTAACCCAATCAACCTTGACCTCCGGCCTTTTTATTAATTTGATCCATTTTTAAGCCCCTAAATTTGATTCAAACTTGTTCTTTTGCCACCTCTATTATATAAACACGCGCCTTTGTGGGACAAATATTGACATATTTAAAAAACTGAACTTAACGACTCTAAATTCTGATATGCAATTCTTAAGGCATAGGTTTTGATTAAGTACCTCTTCTCTTAGGCGAGCATTTTCAATCCTCAAGTGCTGCTCATCAAATGACATCTCGCCAATGGTAGCCGGCCCTCCACAATTTGGACATGTAGCAGTGGTAAGTGCTTCTTTATACCGTATATTTTCGGCACGAAGTTTCTCATTCTCATTCCTCAATTGTGTGTTCTCATGGCGTTCCTGATGAGCCTGGGCAAAATGAAGAAAACAATGTAGTTGTAACAGTTATTACATTGAATGCTGGCATTTAATGACATTTTAAATTTTACGTTTGGAAAATTGATGCACAAATAGAAAAGACTAGCTAATTACCTTCATTTGAGTACGTTTGTTTTGGAACCAAAACTTAATTTGCAAAGGCTCTAACCCTAATCTTTTCCCCAACTCTTTCCTTTGTTTATCATCTGGATGAGGACATTCTTTGAAAAACCTGTCAAATGACCAATTAATTAATTGCAATAACAACAACAACGACAACAACCAACCCAGTATAATCTCACAAGTGAGATCTAGGGAGGGTAAATAGTACGCAAATCTTACCCCTACAGTGAATGTAGAGAGGTTGCTTCCAGTAAACCCTCGGCACGTGAAAAAATGAAAATTTTATTTTTTGCGAAATTATGTCAATATAAGAATTGCTTACGCTTCCAATTCTTGAATTTGATGCTGTGTATGCCGATGATATTGTTTCTTCTTAGGACGTTTATTAGGATCTTGATCGTCTCCTGAAGGGGCTAACTCCGTGGTATCAGCGCCTGATTTGCTCTCGAATTCATCATCTCGAATCAAGTCCATCTCGTTTTCTGATGTTTTATGGCTCAAATCTAGCAAAAAATTGTGGCTATCGAACATGTTTTGCTGAAACATCTTGATGAACTTTTCCTTCTTTGCAAAGCTAACTAAGGATTTTTAATCTGCGCCAGAACACAAAAGAAAAATAAATAATCCATCTCTATGAACACACCAAAAATAGTACCCTAATAGATCTTAAGAAGTACAAAAATACAAGAAATGAAAACTAGAATATTGACATATACGAGTAATAACTAGCTTAAAACCTTTCAATTAAAAATGTGAAGTGCACCTTTGTTTCCAATAATTTAACTTGAATGATGATCTCTATTACCTATAATAGCTCAAGATCATAACAGATCCCAAGAATAGGAAGAAAAATGATAACAAAAGGGAACAGATAAACATGCAAGAATATAGAGAGTCAGTCAAGCCGCGGCTAAAACCACTTTTTTTATTGGATTTTAGGATAGTGAAAATTGAACTCACACCTATCGATTCTCACCGATACTATGAGACTGTAACAGTTGGTGTTAAAACGACTTACTTTTCTCGAATTGAGATTTTCAAGAAACCCAAAACAACCTACACATCTTGAATTTCTCCACCAAGATATGCTATAAGCCCTTCAATATCCATAGAACAATTTCTATCTCCTTTCTATATATGTATAAAATAGCTGTGTAGTAGGAGGTTTTTTTTTGCTTTTTGGTTTTGACTTGTTTAGAAGGTTAGGGCATAGAGTTTTGTATAGATAATAATATTCTCTGGTTTTATCCAAGGAAAAACTAATGGGAAAAACTAGAAGTAAAAAACAAGGAAGAAATGTCTCGGTTGTAGGAAGTCAAACAAAGATTTTGGGAAAAGACTGAAATGAGAAAAATTTAGCAAAAAAACAAAGAGAGGGTTGACATAGTGTGAACTCGAAAAACTGCTTATTCTTTTTCACTCTTTTTCTTATTCACATTTATGTACTCAATATAACGTCTACGAGTATCTCGGTACACTTCAACTTCACTGACATTTCTCTTTCTGCAAAAATATAACGGAAAAAAATAAAAATGGTAAGTCAAAAAAAAAAAAGAATAAGTGAAACTTACTACTATAACTACTATGAGTACTAATTTTTGAAGCCTTGTAACAAAAGCAAGAACATGTTTTCTAGTATTAGGGTTAGAGGAATAAAAGGTTATATATGGTTAAATCTGGTTTTAAAGCAAAGGGTATACCATTGGAGAGTGAAAAGGTAGATATGTTCATAGGTGCAAACACATTTCTTGTGACTAGAATTTAAGAAGAATACTTGGGACAAAGAAAGAAAAAGAAAGAAGATAGAATTAATAGAGAGAGAGAGAGAGAGAGAGGAGAGAGAGAGAGAGAGAGAGAGAGAGAGAGTGTGTAGAGGTGCTTTGGAGAGGGAGAAGAGAAGGTGAAGAAGGGAAAAGGAAAAGGAAACAGGTGGAGAAGATGTGGCAGCAAAGGAGTTATTGCAAAGCGTATTGAGAGGATGCAATAGCATTTATGGCTGCTAGAGGTGTTAATGTTGTTGTTGAAGAGAGGGGGGGGG